GGGGCCGGGGGGGCTCCTGGGAGGAGAAAGGTCATTTCTGACCCCCTCCTTCCGCCCCTCCGCAGCTGCTGATGGAGACGGTAGATTCCGACATCCGGAGCTGCCCTCTCTGCCAGCTGGCGTTCCCCATCGGCTACCCGGACGATGCTTTGATCAAGCACATCGATTCGCACCTGGAGAACAGTAAGATCTGAGCCGCCTTCCTCTCTCCTCGGCCTGACTTCCTCACAGCCCTGGCCCCCTTTGGATGCTGCATGAAACCGCGGGGAACCACCCGGCTCCCCAGATACCTCCGACTCTTCAGTAGCTGCAGGAAAGACTGAACTGTAAGAGACTCGCCTCGTCCTCGTCCCTCGGTTCCAAGTGGGTTTCTTCCCCCCCCACGGAGGAATGGTCGGATCTGCAAACCCGGGGATGCTTGTACCAGCCGGAGGAACCCAGCCCGGGGGCAGGGGGAGGCAGGACGGTCGACTGGGGCTTCTTACAGGGGGTGTCGCCTGCCTTTTACTGCTGCTTCCTTTCCAGCGCTCGCTGTGCCATTTGGTTTCTCCGAACGATCTCAGGGAGGTTGATTGCAGGTGGATCCCCCCCCCGTCCCGCCCCGACACACACGCCCCGAACGCTGCTTCGGGGAGCGGCACCGCGTGTCCATGTCCCCGGCACGTTTGAGTCTCTCTCTGCTGCCCGGCGGTTTCCCTCTTGGTCACGCTCGGTCCCCGAGTGCTTCCCAACCAACCTGCCTTGGCCTCTGGCTGCTGGCCCCAACGTCGCCCCAGCCTTTTACATGAACGCCTTCCCCCCGCCCCGTTTTCTGAGTGACACTGCTGAGAAAGGAAACCCACTTTCCAGGGCGTAGCATGGACACCCTCTAGCATTGCACTGACCTTACCGGGGGCCACACGCGGGGCTCCTCGAAAGTCAGGGGCCGCTTTTGGTCCTTGGCCCCGGCAGCAGCGCTGCGCCCCCGGCATGTTTCTGTCCTCATTCGTGTGTCGTCTCCTCCTCCATCCCGCCACCTTGCGTGGAGCCGCTCGCTCCCGTGGACCCGGAAGAATCCGTGTCCCACGCCGTGGTCCCGCCCTCCCCTTGCCCACAGTCCTGGGACGGCCCATGGCGCCCCCATGACGGCACAATGTGAATCCCGCAGCGGCCACCTCTCTCTCCCCGGCCTTCCCGAGCATCTTCGCCTCCGACGGATCTCCGACAAGCCCGTGCGGGCTGGCTCCGTCGCCCTCTCTCCCGCCCCACGGCGCCCGCCCTGGCTCAGCAGAACGCCGTGGAGTGTGTCCAAAGTGCCCGCGCAGCGAAGATGCTTTGGAAAATGCCCCCCTTCCCTAGCAGGACCCAGAGATGGGTTTTGCCTGGGGCAAACCGCCCCCCGCCTCCCGTTCTTTCGTCTTTCGCCGGGGTGTTGGCGAACTGGGCAGCGAGGCCCATGCTTCCCTGGGCAGGGAGAGGCGAGATGGGAACCGCTTTTGCTGCTGGCGGCGGGTGGGCTGGGAGGTAGCGTCCGCCTCTGCTGGAGCTGGCACCGACAGTTCACAGGGAGCGACTGGACCCCTGGCGTTTCTAGGGGGGTTCAGGCGCAGAATTCGGATCCCCCTCTCGGATTGTGCAGGAGGGAGGGGTAAATTGGTTTGTGGTGGGGGAGGTTTCTCCGGGGAATCCCAAGCGCCTTGGCTGAGGGAACGCTCAGAAGGGAAGTGAATGTGAATTAAAGTCCCGTGTAAACGTAAAGTGCACTAGCTCCCGATTCGCCCCCGGGGCGGACCGTTTTCTTCCACAACAAGATTTCCTCGCGCCTGGTGAGCGTCCCTGGAACTGAGACCTCTGCAAATCAGAGGTTTCCAAACTGCCATAAAGAAGGGCTTATGGTTTAACAGGGATTGGCGCAGGGCCAACCTGCGGCTCAGGTGACCCTCTGGGCTGGGGGGGCGGGGGTGTGTTACTGCCTGGTGGGGCTGGCGAACCAGGTGGAGCGAGACCAAAATGATAGGACCCTGCCTTGCAGCAGCCTGCATTCTGCGTAACCGACAAGAGCCGCCCGCAGTGGGTCCAGGCAGGAGCCGGGAACCTCGTGGTCCCTTCTGGCCCTAATGGGTCCGTCTGCACGACAGTTCAACGCAGGCGGCTGGCCCTTGACTCAGGCGTGGGCTGCAGGGTGAAAAAGTCGCAGTGGAGACGTCTGGGCTGGGGCTGATCCGTGGCGCTGGCACTCTTCCCCCCATCCCCCTGTCCCGCTTAGCCCGGATGGCGACAGCGCGGTCTCCTCGCCCGGCAGTCTGACTGCGGGTGTTGCATCGCCACGGAGATGTCTGTGCGGTCAGAGAACTGTCCCAAGCAACGGGGACGGCGGCGGCCCAGTACGAGGGACCCCTCCTTCACACCGGTTTTGTGCAGATCGGGGCGGTGGGGCGAACGCCCTCTGCTCTGTCGCACTGCGTCTGTGGCCGGAAGGTGTGGCCGCGGGGTCTGATCCTGCAGGACGCAGAAGAATCCCCAGCTGGCTCTGAGCACGCCGAGGGCCCACCGAAGTCCGA